GTGAGGAGGGAGTCAACAAGTGCGGCTCAACGGTTTAAAAAATGATTAAAATCTCGAGGAAAATTGGAAATAGACAGCCCCTAACTCTATTTACAATTTTTTTTCTTCGTTCTATTAATTTTTTTTATTTTTGTTTGTTTAAAATGGAGGGCAAATCCTTCACTAATTGTCAAGATGAAGAGAATAAAAGTTGGATCATGCCATATGTACAGATTTTTGGTGCTCACTCTTTTGACATATTCGTGTTGGCAGTTTTTAATTGGTGCAAAAACTATGTTGTTTTTTAAGCATGCCAATGACATAATGTCTTGTGGCATTTTGTCGAGTGAAGTATAGAATTTTTCTGTATAAGTAGCATGATCCTAACAAGTTTTGTTGCATAATTAAAAGGACGGGATAGATTATCCTAAAAAAATGTTGAAGGTAAATTTGTTACATTCCACATAAGTTGGGGACCAAAAATGTAAATTTTCCATTAACAAAATTAACCAATGTTTGGTACAGATTAAAATCTAGATTAAACTAAATCAAAGTCAATAATTAATTTTAAATACATTTATTTTATAGGTTCAACAATTTTTTAATAACACATTTCATCAACTTCTATGAAAAGTTATTAAAATTTAACTTTAATCCCCACTATACAGGGTTAGCATTTGTTTGAATTCGTTTATTTGGAAAAACATATTTTGTAATAATTATTTTTTAGAGAATGTGCGGTTAAAAAATAGGGAAAAAATTGAATTTACACGTAAATTTATTTTATTGAGAAAATGTATGATTAAAAATAAATTTTAAAAAAAAATTCAAAATAATGGAGCTCAAGGTATTGTATGGATTCACTAGTCAATATTTTTACATTATTTTGATTTTCTTCAATTTGGAAAAAAATAAAAGTGGCTTTTGAGAATTCATGTTTTACGTCCTTATTTGATAGACATTAAAATCAAATTTTTAGAAAATTTTGATAAAAAATATTTTTTTAAAAATTAATAAAATGTATGTTTGAAAAATTGTGAGTTTATTTATAAAATATATGATTGAAATTAATTGTTAACTTTAATTTAAATTTAAATATTTATTTTAATTTTATTTTAAATGGAAACAAACGAGGAATGGATTGATTTCGATTTGAATTATTGTCAAATCAAACATGTTGGGTTGAGTTTGGAATAGACTCAAAATCAATCTAATCCAACCTTAGTCCAGCCCTAATAATGTTTGGAGATATTTTTTTCGTTCCTATCCACGTGGCAAACAATTGTGGCGAATTTTTCACGTGGGTTGGCCCCCAAAGTCTATTAACTACGCCATAAAAAGTAGGGGGAGAGGCACCTCCATACCCATTCAAATCCCGTCTTTCTTTACTTATTCTCCTTCTAGAATTCTCTCTTTCTAGATTTTTCCCCTAATTCTTGCCAACAAAATTGCGATCCTTCGTTGGCGTGATATTTGGATTTTGTTAATTTTAGAATTGAATTGAAGTTTGGCTGAAGAGTTGGGATTAGGAAATAATTTTCTAATTATTTGGTTAATTTTGCTCTTTGATCGGAAGGGGTAGGTTTTGAAGACGCATGAGCTGGTTGGTAAAGCTGGATTTTTCTTCGAATTCCAACTATTTCATTACCTGCCCTCTCATTTTCATTCTCCATTACTCCAAAACCGTTACCTTCTTGTTATTCCTTTTATTATTAAGATTATCCAAGTTATTATTGAGATTAAATTTTAGTGATCTGAGTAATTTTAGCTTTGGTTGTTATCTCAATCGTCACCGATCGTCGTCAAATTGGAATCATGGAGTCTGGGGACAAGAGTAATCGCCAATTGCAAAGAGGTCTGTTCAATTTTATTTATTATTTTTAATTATTTCTATTTAGATGCCTGTATGTATTTCATTTTTATTTTTTAGATGTTGAAGTGTTCAATTTTGGTTTTTCTTTCTTGAAAGAGGGATTCCCGTTCAGAGCATTTGTTTATATTATTATGTTGCAGAAGAGTCTGACTTTGATGACTTGACTACTTTTTGTCAACACCACCAGACTTTGAGGTCTTGGTCGGTGATCTTTAATAGCTAATTAATGTTTCAGGTCTTTTCAGTACTAAATTTACAAGAAAAAAAATGAAAAATACCTATATCAATTTATGAAGAACATCTAATAAAAATAACAATATACTTTTAGTTGCACTTAAGACGGTTTCTGTCATTAACAAATTTTGGAGTACGCTTTATTTTACTTGAATCGGCCACTGAACAAATTGGGCTTGAATGAACAATAATCTTGGACTGAAGTCGAAGATGAAAACTGCTTATAGGGAATAATCAGCGAGGGTCAAAAAATCTATCAGATGAAAACATGGCTTCAACAATCGTTGGAAGAAAATGTACACCTGAAATGTAGTTTTGTCATCCATTTAAAGAAATAATGATACTATGAACTAGATCAAGCACGGAACATGTGCAATTTTGGCTTGATATATTATTATCATTTTTATTAATTTTAATATGAACTTGATCAAGCATGGAACATGTGCAATTTAGCGCGATTTATCATTATCATTTTTATTAATTTTAATTTTTGAGAAACTTCTTTGAACACTATGTTAGATGTCTCATAGCTTTCATCTTTCTTTTTGCGGAAAAGACCAAGACTTGCTCTAGAATTGTCAAATAGCCTCTGAACCAATAAAATATTTCTAAAATTTGTATAAATAGTCTCCCATTTAATTATTTTTCATGGATACATTTGTGGAAATGTTTTTTAGATAGATACATGGTCCATAGAAGTAAGCAATAGCTATAAGCCTGATACCTCCAACAATACATACTTTTTATTCCTATCATTAATAGATATAATTTGGTCCGAGTCTTTGGAATTTGAATAAAATTTACAGCGGATCACAAAATCTTGGTGATCTGAGGGAGTCTGCTCATAGATCCCGTGCATTTGAAACCATATTTGAGTTGATTGTAGATTCAAATTATTCTTATGATGCATATAGTGGTGGATTTTCATTTGTACCCCCAGAATTGAGATAGACATTTGGTCTCTTGCCTTTTAAGAATTGAGACGTATGCCCCTTGCAGGCATTTTCCGGTTAATGATAATTAGATTTATAATTCACCTCTTAATGGATCACCTCAACGTCCCAGCCTTAAAATCTCTTCTGGGACCAAGTTAAGAATATTGGCCAGTCCGGGGCAATTCGGATGGTACTGGATTTTTGATGAATTTATGATGTTGTTCCTTACAACCCTATGCAAATCCTCCAATTATTTCTTGTCAATATGGTTTGCATTTGGGCCAGTTGCTAACCTTTTGGTGGTAAGGTCCCACTATCATGCTACTCATGTTTTTAAATAGGGCTGTCCGTGGTTCGGTTTGGTTCTGAAGAGAATCGAACCGACCCAAAACTTTCGGGTATTTAATAAATGGAACCGTCGGGTCCAAATATAATTATGTAACCGTTCGTGTTCGGTTCGATTCGGTTCCGTATCATAATTAAATTTTTTAATATTTACAGCAACACTACATAAATACAACTAATGACATTTCATTCGTAACTTTTACAAATTAACGTAGTCCAATTCAAAAATATATAAATAACTAACTGTCCAATAAGATTAATTCAATGCATACAAATACCAAAAAGTAAATAATAATATTGTAGCAACACTACATAAAGTGTTTTCATTTGCTTCAAATTAAAATGGGCTAATGGGCTTTAAAAATGATTTGGGCTTTAAAATTAAAATTAAAATTATGAAATAATCTGATTTATTTAATTAATTTGCTAATTTGTTTAGAAAAAAATAAAATAATTTAATTAATTCAATATAAAAAATAAAAAAAATTATTTAGTTTCGGTTCTTATTCGATTCTTCGGTTCTTGGTCTAGACCCGAGATCCGATCCAAACCCATCGATTCTCGATTCGGGTACCTGTTCGGGTATTTAAGTTATGATATGAAGAACCGCTCGATTCGGTTCAGGACTTTTGGACACCCTACTTATTTATGCACTAAAGTCTAAATTTAATTTTGTATGGAGTTCCATGGGTAGGCAGATTTTATTGTACTAAAAGACCGCCTGAGACCCTTGGATGGTATTGTATCTTTAACTATAATCTATGTGGATATCTTTGACAGCATTTGTCAATTTTTTATTTTGCAATTTATTTCTTTCTTGGTAATTGTTATCCCCGGGGAGAAGTGCAGGAGAGATGGGGTAGATTAGCAAAGTTGACTGTAGAGCCTTAGGCATATTGTGACTGGAATACACTTCAAGTACAGTTTAACTGTCAATTGATCTATTAATCAGTGTCCAAGTCGACTTGAATATATGTATACGAACAAACACGTGTACACTGATATCCATATACAGAACATAATAAAATAATATGCTTCCTCATCTATATCTGAGGTTGGTTTTGTTGTGTGTAGCTCTGTGCTATTCAGATGTTGAAAAGAGGGATAGTGCCTCACCATCTGTCATCGTGATAGGTGGTGGCACTGCTGGCATTGCAGCTGCACGAGCTCTTCATGATGCTTCTTTTCAGGTATGTACTAGATATCTCTGAATGTATGATATCGACAAAAGGATTTTGCTTGGAAATTTTTCAAATTTTATAATTATTTGTAGGTTGTCCTGTTGGAATCGCGGGAGAGAATTGGTGGTCGAGTTCACACTGATTACTCTTTTGGTTTTCCTGTCGACTTGGGTGCATCATGGTAACAATAATGTTATTCTTAAGAAAGCCTGTTCAGCTTTCTTCTCAAGTTTTTAGATGTCCCCTGGTTCCTGCCAATTATTAATTTCATGTCCATGTTTAAGGTTACATGGTGTTTGCAAGGAGAATCCACTAGCACCTGTTATTGGAAGACTTGGACTACCCCTTTATCGAACTAGTGGCGACAATTCGGTTCTCTATGACCATGACTTAGAGAGGTATTCAAATGGTCCTTAGTTTTGATCTCTCATTTTCGAAAGCATACATGTTACTGTTCTGGGCAAATAATTTTGTTAAGCTTGCTATTTTTTGTAGACAGAAATAAGAATGGGTCACTTTGTAATTAACTCAACAACATTGTGATGGTTTTCATTTCATTCAAGCGTATAATAATGACAGAGATAGTTTATTTTACATGTAAGAATGAGTTACAATTCTTTGATATTCTTTTTGACAGAAAGTAGGAGTAAAAATGGGGTAGAATTTCTTATGTTTTATCAATCTGAATATTTTTTTTTATGTCAAGCCAATTGTACACGTTGAATATCAGTTGGCAGCTGATATCATATATTTTTCAGTTATGGTCTGTTTGATATGGAAGGAAATCAAGTTCCTCAGGAATTAGTCTCGAAGGTTGGTGTGACATTTGAGAGCATCTTGAAAGAGGTATGTTTCTTTGTCTTCTTCTGTTCCTTCCTCTCCCACTTTCTTCTTACCGAAGGTGCCTGATAATTGAAAATTATTTGTAGATTAGGGCTGTTATTGATCTTTTATAATTTTCTCATGGAAAAGAACTCGTTTTCCTCTTCATTTGCGCAGACAGATGTAGTAAGACAAGAATTCAGCGAGGACATGTCTATATTCCGTGCTATCTCAATTGTTTTCGAAAGGAGACCAGATTTGAGGTCATGAATGCTACGCACCATGTTGCTATATGTTTTATTTTCTCTTGAACTAAATAAATTAAAGACGTAGTTTCTCATTACAGGTTGGAGGGACTTGCTCATAAGGTGTTGCAATGGTACCTATGCAGAATGGAAGGCTGGTTTGCAGCAGATGCTGATACCATATCTCTCAAATGCTGGGATCAGGTTGGTTCTACAACTCAATAGTTGAATGATGGTTTTCTTGAACCATTTCTTTGTAGTTCTATATTCACGATCTAGATTCTTTTGGTTTCTCAACTATAAGATGGTTACATTCTCAACTTATTTTGGAAATAACTGGAGCATATGGGATTTTTCTACATATCAAGGATAAATTGGAAACTAAGAACATGGCCTTGCAGCTTGATTGATAGTTTCTACATCGTCTCATTTATTCTCTTCGATACACAGGAAGAATTGCTTCCAGGTGGGCATGGGCTTATGATCCGAGGCTATATTCCGGTCATTAATACGCTTGCTAAAGGTCTTGATATCAGGCTGGGCCATCGGTGAGATAGAATTATTCATCATGAGATTTACTCCTTTTCTCCTGGTACCTAACTGATTTGTTAACTTGTGGCCTTGTTTTTGTTTGTGCACTTTAGAGTAACCAAAATAGTTAGACGTTATAATGGAGTGAAAGTAACAACTGAAGATGGGAGAACATTTACAGCTGATGCTGCCATTGTTGCTGTTCCTCTTGGTGTTCTGAAATCAAATTGCATCAAATTTGAGCCAAGATTACCTGAATGGAAGGAAGCAGCCATTAATGACTTGGGGGTTGGGATTGAAAACAAGATAATTTTGCACTTTGAGAAGGTGTTTTGGCCCAATGTAGAGTTTTTGGGAGTTGTTGCCGAGACTACTTATGAGTGCAGTTATTTTCTTAATCTACACAAGGCCACTGGACATTCTGTCCTTGTTTACATGCCTGCAGGGCAACTAGCCCGTGATATAGAGAAAATGTCGGATGAGGCTGCTGCTAATTTTGCTTTCACACAGCTTAAAAGAATCCTTCCTAATGCTTCTGAACCGGTAATGTTACATATTATGCTAATTTTGCTTTGTGCTACTTAAGAACTGTTCCAAATGCTTCTGTACTGGAAATGTTACGTTATGCTTCTGTAAATGCCATGTGCCTACATCTACGGACGACATACATACATCGATATAATTTATGTATGTGTGCTTTCACATACACAACAAGAAGCTAAGCCTTATTGCCGATAAATTTGGTGATGGCTGCATGGATTTTTTTCCCCATTCCATTTTCATTACTATATGCCCTTGGAAGATCCATCCGAACTAAAATATTTGCCCGTGGCCACAACAAATATGTTAATTTTGGTCTATGTATTTCTCTTCTAATCTGTTATACTAGTACAAATCGCTCGTGAATAGGAGCTTCTGTAGATACATCCGAACTACCTGAGTTACCCTTTCACTGGTGCCACCTAAAATCTCTATATTGGAAAGTACTACTACAAATTTATAACATGCTATTCAACCCATTCCTTGTCTCATTCACTAAAAGCGTTGTGCTTGAATAAAGTACACCAAATACCCTCATCTTGGATATGTCTCGTGAGCATATTGATGACTAGGAAAGATAGGATATGTAGCTTTATGTTGAGAAGGGAAATTGACGTGTCGAAGAATTCTGGGACAAAAGGATGAACTTTAAGCACCACCTAGAGTAGGCTATAACTTCATAAGGAGAGATCACACCTTAATATACCTGTGTACATATGCCGCCACAAGTTTTGGAAACTTTTATGTTTTTAGTGTTGGAAAATCGGTGAATCCTTTGGATTTCAAATCCATTATGTTTTATGATAAATGCACCTAAAAGTTCGTTGTATTTTATCTATTGTCTTTTTCCTTTCTGGATGAAATCTTCCTATGTTGTACCATTTATAAAAAGCACACACATTCATTCTTTTCCTTTGCCCTGCATCTATTGTTTTAATTTATCCATTAGATGACAAAAGGAAATGCTTAATCTGTATATTATTTGATTGATGGGTAAAGATTTACTAATTTTTTGGTCAGTAAATATGGATTGTTAAAGCAATGTTGAATTCTTCGCATCTGTGATGGAAAAGCATTAACTGTCAAGCATGTCTAATCCTAGAAACAATATCGAATTCTTAACCTGTGATAGAAAAGCACTGACTGTCAAAATGTCAATCCTAGAATCAACTTATTTATGCATATTTGTAACCTGGTGTATTGCTTGCTATATCCTAGAATTCAGGAACTGATTTTTTTTCCTTACTGATATTCATTATATATTGCGACGGGTATTTCATAAACTCTTTGACCCATAGCAACTGCAAAACTAGGCCCCTGTTTGGGGTGCATTATTCTATCCCATAGTAGAAAGAAAGTTACCGTTGGAGAAGGGAGTGGGACCCACATGTGAGACAATTAGTCAAAAATGGTGGGCGAATTTCAAAACTAACGGCTCTTTTTTTTCTAAAAATGAAGGAATAATTTGCCTCAAACAGACTAGGTTAATAGATAGGAATCATAATTAATTTTCTTGCTAGGACATCTTATAATGTCTAGATAACATGCGGTGAAAGAGTGCGGATAAAGACTCAGTTTCTGACACTCCCGATCCCCTCGTGTATAATGCAGATTCAGTATCTTGTTTCTCACTGGGGCACGGACAAAAACTCGCTAGGCTCCTACAGCTATGATACTGTAGGGAAACCTCACGATCTGTACGAGAGGCTAAGGATTCCTGTAGACAACCTATTTTTTGCTGGGGAAGCTACAAGTACGGAATACCCTGGGTCTGTCCATGGTGCATACTCCACCGGATTAATGGCTGCTGAAGACTGCAGAATGCGTGTTCTGGAGCGGTATGGAGAGTTGGATTTGTTCCAGCCAGTCATGGGTGAGGAGAATCCTTTCTCTGTTCCTCTATTGATATCCCGAATGTAAACCTTAAACATCGTAACATGGGTATTGGCTAACACATCCTGCTGACTGTTTTGTGAGAAATAGTGGGAATAAAAAGATTTCCCTATGAATGATCAAAGCATCAGATGATGTGTAGTCTTTCTTCCCTTGTCATGTTAATGGACCACTGAATTATGACATTTTATTAAGCTATTATGGGAACTATGGTGTTTTATTGCTAAACAGAACAGCACGTACGAAACTATTTTATGGTAGCAGGCTTGTATGAAACTATCATTTCAAATAAATCACTTCATTATGGAGTCGTGGACCCGAACATTTGAATTACGAGTTGGCTACGGCCGAGTCTCACATTTTGATTACGCTCAACTTTATTATTTCTCGATTTTTTTTTTCTTTTACCTTACTGATTATTGAGCAGTGTAAAGTATTTTAGATACATTTAGTAAGTGATTATACGTGCGACAAGCAAGGAAATAATGGTTGTATATATTACATAGAGGAAATTGCGGGAAATGTCGAATTTTGATACCCCATTTTGAAAAATAGGAAATTATGAAGAATGTCCATATTTCATGTGCCATTTTAAAAATTGGCCAAAAATTCCCAACCCAGAATTCCTTTCCGTCCGTGATCATTGTGTAAGCAATAGGTTCTGTTCCTCGGCAGTTACCAATAGATATTCCATTGGTGAAGTTACAAGCCTACTTGCATATTCATACATGATGACTCGGGAAATTATAGAAATTAGAAAAATATAATAAAATAAGAGATTCAAGATGAATTTGGGAAATTGGAGGCGAGGACCATATTCTCGCCCCGCCTGTTTACTATTCTCTGCGGCACAATGTAGGGCATGTCGAGGGCGTTAAAATTGTAAAACCTGGAGCAAATCAATCTTGAAATCCACTTGCCCGATAAATTCAACATTGAATAAGATGGAAATATTAACTAATATATGAGGGCCTAAGCAATCCTTTAACAAAGTTGTCATTTTGAAATAGAATCCAAATTTTGTTACCATGAAGAAAAATGAAGGAATAAACCTTGAATAATTATTAAATTAATGAGAGCGCAAAATATGTCTGTGTTTAGTTTGGATAAAAATCATGTTTTTCGTAAATTTTGTTAAAAATTGATAAAATGAGGGCTGAAATAGGGTGACTTTCATTCTTGGTTCTTGAGCTTCCAGAGAAATCTCAAATAAGCCATTAAACTATCCCCTGTTTGGCTCCCATTATTTTGTATTTTTGGGGGTTGAAAATTTTTAGAATAGTGATTGATGGAAGAATGTGTGATTGAAATTTTTTTGATTTGTGTGTAATATTGTTTTATTTGATGAATGTGTGGTTGAAATGAAGAGAGAAAATTTTAATGTAATGTAATGTAATTTAATGGGGGTCAAAGAAGGGTTATTGTCTTCATTGAATCACTGAACTTCATTTAAATTTGGGAAAATTGCAGCCACGATATCAAATATATCACATTTTTGCAGACTTTGTCAAAATCTTTCATTTGTGCCACTTACGGTACCAAAATTCTACCATATCGCACTCGGAGTTCAAATTGACAGAAACCGTTAGTTTGACCAATAATTAAATGTCTGACCAATCGTTGACCAATTTTTAAAGGGTAAATATGCAATTACATTTTTCATATGAAAAAAATTAAAATAAAAGAATTAAATTACAAAAAAAAAGCCCAGGTACCGCTCATCTTCTTCACTCCTTCCCCCAAACTGCAATTTCCCCTCTTTACATTTTTCATGTAATTATTCAAGTTCTCGACGATTCAACGGATCCTGTAATGACGGTAACCCATTAAACATTTTCTTTCTTGCTTTTGTTGTGTGGTAGAATCTGGTGGAACTGGAGTGCCAAAGGTGGGCAGGCAAGGGAATTAATATCAAGTATGAAATTCGTGACAACAGAAATGGATACAAAGCTGGAGCACTAAACGAAGGATTAAAGCACCCCTATGTGAACTATGCGATTATGTAGCAATTTTCGATGCCGATTTTCAACCCGAACCCGATTTCCTCTGGCAAACCATCCCTTTCTTAGTTCATAATCCGGAACTTGCTCTCGTTCAAGCCCATTGGAAGTACCCACTGCAATTTTCCATTAGTGGGTGTGGGTGTGTGGGGTTGGGAAATTGCAGTGGGGGTGGGGGGAAGAAGATGAACAGTACTTTGGGTTTTTATTTAGTTTAATTCTTTCATTTTATTATTTTTTTCATATGAAAAATAGAAGTTACATATTTACCCTTTTAAAATTGGTCAAACATTTAATTATTGGTCAATTAACAGTCAAATTAACGGTTTTTGTCAATTTGAACTCCAGGTGTGAATTATTTAAATGTTTGGTACTGTAGATGGCACAAATGAAAGGTTTGTGCAAAGTCTGCAAAAAAGTGATAGATTTGGTATCGTGACTGCAATTTTTCCTTTAAATTTCAAATTTTACCACTCGATCACATTCCATCACTTATCTAGCTATGAGCCTTGCTATGGGTACATCACCCCTTGCACAAGTGGCGCCTCCTCATTGGAGGAGTGCTATATATTTAAAAGCTTGAGGATTTAAATATCATGAAATCGTGGGGCCGAGGCACCCCTCCAATGAGGAGGCGCCACTTGTGCATTATGTCACCCCTTGTGTAAGGGGTGATGTACAAGTAGCACAATTCATCTAGCTATAGCATAGCTAATCTTTTACACGATCTCTACATTGTGAAACGAAGGTTATGCAAATGGCTTTGGATTAAAAGACACGTTTTGAATTTTCACAGTTTTATAACATGACACAGTAAATTGACATGCCACATAATGATTATGTGAAAGATCCATTGTTGTATGATTGTCAATTAAGCATTTTTTTACCAGTTAGACTGGTGCAATTTGAAACTAAAATTGAAGTTTAGTGACTCAATTGAAACAAAAGTGGAATTCTATAACCTAAATGAACTTTTGGTGAAGTTCAGTGATCGCAAATGAAATTTACCCTCAAAATATCTACTGTAGCTAATAACTCGAATAGTCGAATACACTCACTCCTACCCTAGATTAGATGCTGCAAGTTCGTCGATCAACTGCCTTAGTCCTTATTTCATAAACCCTATTGAAGTTTAGTGACTCAATTGAAACAAAAGTGGAATTCTATAACCTAAATGAACTTTGGGTGAAGTTCAGTGATCGCAAATGAAATTTACCCTCAAAATATCTACTGTAGCTAATAACTCGAATACACTCACTCCTACCCTAGATTAGATGCTGCAAGTTCGTCGGCCAACTGCGTTAGTCCTTATTTCATAAACCCTAGGGTTTAGTCTTCACTTTTTTCCTTCCCCAAACAGAAACAGAAGAAATCGAAAATGAGCAGCTTATTTCTACTGAGGAAATCTTCCTCATCGAAAAAGCTCGCTCTCGTTGCGTTCAACAGTCTATTCACTGGAAAATTGATTCCCAGAAATTCCCTTATTTCTCCCAAAATTCATAATTATGTCGCCACTTCTAGAGAAAAGGCACCAGTGCCTTCATCTGCACCGTTTTGTTCAGCTACGAGATGTTTTCACGCGGGCCGGACCTTAAGGGCTGAGTATGCAGTGGCTGATTTATCTGATGCCGATGACAGGAGAGGGTCGAGTGGGGTTGCGGATGATGGGCTCGAGATCGCGAAGCTTGGGATTTCGCAAGAGATTGTCTCCACTTTGGCTCGTAAGGGTATTACTAAACTCTTCCCCATTCAGGTATGATGAATAGAGAAAACTATTATATTAGGAAAATCTCAATTTCCATTTTGTAAATGGAATTTCTGACTTTTTCATTGTAAATACGTTTAGGGGCTGAACCTATTGGATTTTTATACTTTCGTGCTTTGATTTGTCATTCAGCAATGGTCTAATTATGGCATTGAGTTGTAACTTTTCGAGCTGCAAAAATGAAAACGAAAACAAAGAGTCATGGGTTAAGGAATTCTTGATACTTAGAAAGCTATATGAATTTTAGATTTTTCCCTTTTTTATTTATAATATTCATTTTGATATCTTTATGTGTTGATCGAAGACTTCATTACTTTTCTTTTAATCTTATTCGTTGAGTTTTAAATAAAGGATTAATTGACATTCTCTCTGGGTACAGAGAGCTGTTCTAGAACCAGCAATGCAGGGGCGAGACATGATAGGTCGAGCAAGAACTGGGACTGGAAAGACATTAGCTTTTGGCATTCCAATCATGGATAAGATCATTCAGTACAATGAGAAGCATGGGTTAGTTCTCCTTGATTATAACTAAGTTATGAGAACTAAAATAACTTATTTTGAAACTTTTTATATTAAGGGTATTTTAGGTAGTTTATATATTTGAATAGTGAAATGGGTTAGTTTGGGGTTAGTTTGGAATTTTACCTTTGAATTTGGGTCATTTGCTTGTATTTCCCAATTTAGTTTAATTCTTTTATTTTAATTTTTTTTTCATATGAAATATGTAAGTTACATATTTACCCTTTAAAAATTGGTCAAACATTTAATTATTGGTCAACTAACAGTCAAACTAACGGTTTCTGTCAATTTGGACTCCAGGTGCGAATTGTTTAAATGTTTGGTACCGTGGGTGGCACAAATGAAAAGTTTGGGCAAAGTCTGTAAAAATGTAATAGATTTGGTATCGTAGCTGCAATTTTCCCTTTAAATTTCAAATTTTACCACTCGATCACATTCCATCACCTATCTAGCTATAGCATAGCTATTCTTTTACATGATCTCTACATTGTGAAACGAAGGTTATGCTACTGGCTTTGGATTAAAAGACACGTTTCGAATTTTCTCAGTTTTATAACATGACATAGTAAATTGACATGCCACATAATGATTACTGGCTTTGGATTAAAAGACACGTTTCGAATTTTCTCAGTTTTATAACATGACATAGTAAATTGACATGCCACATAATGATTATGTAAAAGATCCATTGTTGTATGATTGTCAATTAAGCAGTTGACTGGTGCAATTTGAAACTAAAATTGAAGTTTACTGACTCAATTGAAACAAAAGTGGAATTCTATAACCTAAATGAACTTTTGGTGAAGTTCAGTGATCGCAAATGAAATTTACCCCTCAAAATATCTACTGTAGCTAATAACTCGAATACACTCACTCCTACCCTAGATTACGTGCTGCAAGTTCGTCGACCAACTGCCTTAGTCCTTATTTCATAAACCCTAGGGTTTAGTCTTCACTTTCTTTCTTCCCCAAGCAGAAACAGAAGAATTCGAAATGAGCAGCTTATTTCTACTGAGGAAATCTTCCTCATCTAAAAAGCTCACTCTCGCTGCTTTCAACAGTCTATTCTCTGGGAAATTGATTCCCGGAAATTCCCTTATTTCTCCCAAAATTCATAATTATGTCACCACTTCTAGAGAAAAGGCACAAGTGCCTTCATCTGCACCGTTTTGTTCAGCTACGAGATGTTTTCACGCGGGCCGGGCCTTAAGGGCTGAGTATGCAGTGGCTGATTTATCTGATGCCGATGACAGGAGAGGGTTGAGTGGAGTTATGGATGATGGGCTTGAGATCGCGAAGCTTGGGATTTCGCAAGAGATTGTCTCCACTTTGGCTCGTAAGGGTATTACTAAACTCTTCCCCATTCAGGTATGATGAATAGAGAAAACTATTTATGTATATTAGGAAAATCTCAATTTCCATTTTGTAAATGGAAATTCTGACTTTTTCATTGTAAATACGTTTAGGGGCTGAACCTATTGGATTTTTATACTTTCGTGCTTTGATTTGTCATTCAGCAATGGTCTAATTATGGCATTGAGTTATAACTTTTCGAGCTGCAAAAATGAAAACGAAAACAAAGAGTCACGGGTTAAGGAATTCTTGATACTTAGAAAGCTATATGAATTTTAGATTTTTCCCTTTTTTATTTATAATATTCATTTTGATATCTTTATGTGTTGATCAAGACTTCATCCACTTTTCTTTTAATCTTATTCGTTGAGTTTTAAATAACGGATTAATTATCATTCTCTCTGGGTACAGAGAGCTGTTCTAGAACCAGCAATGCAGGGGCGTGACATGATAGGTCGAGCAAGAACTGGGACTGGAAAGACATTAGCTTTTGGCATTCCAATCATGGATAAGATCATTCAGTACAATGAGAAGCACGGGTTAGTTCTCCTTGATTATAACTATTTTATGTTCATCCTATCTTGAATATTTGATGTTAAAAATTATGAAGTTCTTTTGAGAGCTTATTTTCCATCATTCAGACGAGGAAGGAATCCTTTGGCCTTAATCTTGGCACCAACTAGAGAACTTGCCCGTCAAGTGGACAAAGAATTCTATGAAACTGCTCCTGGCTTAGATACTCTATGTGTTTATGGGGGTGTGCCCATTATGCGCCAAATGAGTGCTCTTGACCGAGGCGTTGATATCATTGTTGGTACTCCTGGGCGAGTTATTGATTTGATCAAGAGGGGTTCTTTGAATTTATCAGAAGTGAAGTTTACTGTTCTAGATGAAGCTGATCAAATGCTTAATGTGGGATTTGCTGACGATGTTGAGATTATCTTGGGATACATGACTCAGAAGCATCAGACCATGATGTTTTCAGCTACCATGCCTAAATGGATATTAAAGCTTACGCAGAAGTTCCTAAAGAATCCGGTTACTGTTGATCTTGTGAGAGTGCAGACCTCTGATTTGCTCTTTAGTCCTTAATTGAATTTTTTTTTCCTGGTTTGGAATTCTGTGTTCAATAGTGTGTCTACTGCATGTACTTATTGAAGTCAAATATGTACTACAGGTGGGAGATTCTGATCAGAAATTAGCTGAAGGGATTTCCATATATGCAATTGCAGCAGATATGCGTGAGAAACCAGCAATGATTGGATCTCTAATAACTGTATGAATTTAAAGTCCATTTCCTTCACCATCCCAATTGTATATTCAATCTGGTTTCCATCATTTCTATTAATTTTAGTTTATTGCCATAGTCAGTTTCCTCTTCTGACAACCATGTCCTGCCTTTGTTAACAGGAGCATGGGAAAGGAGGTAAATGTATTGTTTTTACCCAAACAAAGCGTGATGCTGATGTTTTGGCGTATGGCATGCAAAGAAATTTTAAATGTGAAGCCTTGCATGGTGATATCTCGCAAAACCAAAGGGAAAGAACTCTGTCTGGCTTCAGAGATGGGCGTTTCAATATATTAGTGGCTACCGATGTAGCTGCTCGTGGCCTTGACGTACCAAATGTTGATCTGGTGTGTGTATAATATTTCTTTCATCATTTTCATTCTTATACATGATTTTGCCTGTAAATCATGACTTCCCACAGTGGAGGTTAATAAAGGAAAAAGAATAGATAAAGTGCCAGCTGTTTTCTGTTTCTTAATAACCTATTGAAATCCTTACTGCTTCTCTTGGCTAAAGATTAGCACATTAGCTTCTTGTTGGATTATAGTGTTGACATTTCATTGTATTAGCACATTTAGACAGAGCTTTGATCCATCCTAACGTTAAGTCGGATGATGGCTCTTTATTCTCAAGGTAGTTCATGAATTTCACGATGCTGTTTTTTTTGCCTTTGTGACACAGTGCTTTGGATTTGTGCTTGATAGTCAACATAGATAAAATGCATTTTGATAATGATGCTTCACAGCTGAGATTCTTAATCATATAAGGTGCAGGAGTGATTTTTTTTTTCTTGCTTGGGGGTTTAATTGATGGCAAATGAGGTTTCTTTTGTAGTGTATTCTCTTCTCTATTGTTTTTCTGGTATTTGGTTTCAGATTGAATGTTTTTCTGTTCAGGTGGTACATTATGAGCTTCCAAACTCTTCAGAGATGTTTGTTCATCGATCTGGACGAACTGGCCGTGCTGGGAAAAAAGGTACTGCAATTCTCATCTATTCATCCCATCAGTACAGGGACGTCAAGGCTATAGAACGTGAAGTTGGATCCCGGTTTGTTGAGGTAAATTGTTCACTGCCCATTCTGTTTAAAATTTTGCTCTGATTTCCTTGTTTAGTACCTGTTTTTTGACTTTTGATATGCTTTGAAGCTAGGAAAGCCTTCAACCAGTTTACGACAACAAATAACAATCTAAGCCTTGTTCCCAATAAATTTGGGGTTGGCCTTTTGAAATCTTAAAAAATATGTAGTAATACTGTTTTTAAAATCAATTCCAACTGAAAAGAACGAGACTTCAAAATTGAGCACCCAAAGAAAACGAGCATGCCAAGCTGATAAATTTGACATTGTTTGCATTTTGTGGTTTAATCATATTGAACTGACTTGTTTATAATTAACCTGGCGTGTTAGCTCCCGAGGATTGTAGTTGAAGAGGGAGCTATGGACATGTACCGTGACATGGATCGTGGTAGCAGTGGTTTTGGTTCTAATAGAAACACAGGAGGTGGCCGGTTTGGTGATTTAGGATTTGGCCGTTCTGGTGGCTCTGGTAATTTTAGGGGTGGTCGTTTTGGTGGACCTGGTTCTGGTCGATCAGGTGGTGGATTTGGTGGACCAAGTTCAGGTCGCTCAGGCAATTTTGGTGGTTTTGGGTCTGGCCGTTCAGGAGGTTTTGGAGACTTGGGTGGTTCAGATCGGAACAGTGGCTTTGGAAACCTTGGTGTTCCAAGTCGGCCAAGTGGTTTTGGGGATTTTGGTTCAGGTCGTTCTAGTGGATTTGGTGATTCAAATTCCAGACAAAATACCCGGTCGAGCCGCTTTGGTGACGACAATGATCATGGTGACCGTAATACAGGGAGGAGATTTTTCTGAAGCTATTCGAGGTGAGTTTGTGTCTTTTAAGATATTGATATGGAGGAAGTGCTATTAATTTTGTAGCTGGGTCTGGCTCTTTGTAACCTGTTTATGTTTCTTCCAAATTGCTACTTATCTATGATAAGCTCATTCTTTAATTGCTCTTTACCAATTTCGTCTCGTTTAATTTTCATATTTAATGCTCTTTATAAGCGGCCAAATTATGCGGAAGTGTGATCGTCATTGCAACATTTGATTGATTCTACGAAACCACATGAAAAATAAATGATTTAGAACCATTTTGTTATTTGTGATATGGTCTTGTATTAAGTAGATATATTCTGTAACCTCATTGGAATTGATCTGAAATTAATTATCGAATGCTTAAACAGACACTGAAGCACTAACCTATACTCAGGTATCCTTTTCTTCACTTTTGTAAAGGTTTAGCCATTTCTATATGTATCATACATATACTTAAATTAATTTCATTCTTTAGCTTAATCAGTTGTATTTTATTCAAGTTGTGTGCCTATTGATGAATGCCTGCATTCTTTTTTACTTTATTCCAGGATAATTTGAAAAATCATAATATCAGATGTGAAGATTATGAAAGGCGGTTATCTAGGATGAACATTGCCGCATTTGGTAAACAGCTTCTGGTTTTGAAGGGTTAGCAAGGCCGGACGATACTATATTATATATTTTTGTTTGAAGAAAAGATGGGAAGCAAACCCCGACGATTTGATCATTACTGTGCTAATGAAGGTCTTATGTGTAATCTAATGGTATCTGCTTTTTGTTCATATTTGTTGTTTCTAAGCAGAGATTGAATTCGAGAAACAGACTAAATTCCTTCAGAATCGGTGTGGGAGATGATATAGTAGTAGTAGTAGTAGATTAGTGTTTTTCGTCCACACTTATCGTGTACTGCAACTAATATGAGCCTAGTTGTTATTTAAATAAGTGGTGTTACCGATCTCTATATTGGCATTTAAATTTGAGATATTGAAATATATGTAGTGTACTGTTCATGTTGTTCCTCTCAATTTCGAAGGTATGTTTGATACACAATAATGGATAATGGTAAGATTTCGACTTTTCTTTTTTGATGCGTAATGCGTTGCGAAGCGTCGATATCGAGAATAAAGAATCACAAGTTTAGACGTGTAAATGCGAAGAATAAGCATCATAATGCGTTTCATATTTTTAAGGCGTTAAATATATTTTTATATAAAAAAGTAGATTTTTTAATATATCATAAAAAAAATAAAATAAAGGGGGATTAGGCGGGATAATGCGCGCCTAGGCGCGAATCACAAGTTTAAGCGTGTCAATGCGAAGAATAAGCGTCATAAAGTGTTTCGTATTTTTAAGGTATTAAATATATTTTTATATAAAAAAATAAATTTTTTAA